GCTCACAAATTTTGCATTCCAAACAAACGGCCTGCACTGAGACACCTGAGCTTGTTTAAATGCTTCTGCAGTCTCAGTTGACCAGAGGCCATCAATGGTGGCAAACAGCAGCTGTTTATACTTGTTTAGAATGCGCTGGAGCACACGGCTATAGATAGGAAATGTTGTAGTTTAAAAAGAAAAACACAAAGGCTGCTACTTTCACATAACTCAGAAATTTTTCCAGTAGCTACAATGTTCTGAAGAAAAAATAAACAGGAAAGATTCTTAAAAAAAGTAAAGTTAAGCAAATAGTAATGCTAAATAACATTTGCAAAATTTGGCTAAAATCTTCTATTGTAACCAAACTTTCCTTCTAAACAGGACTGAATCCAACACAAGGCATTTTGCCAAATTCTTAAGCAAATAAGTAAACCATGACACACTTGACAGTAACCATGGGGAGGGAAGAATCACTGTGTTTCATTCAGCTCTTCGTAGGAGATGAAGTACATTAATAGGGGGCATGCTTTACCATCCAGCACTGTGCATCTTAGCATCTCCCAGCAACATCCTGTATTTCATCATGAAATACTGAATCTGCCAAAATAAATAGCAAGAACTTCTGTCACTTCAGCAGCTAATTAAGTGGTCTTCCACAGGCGGATTCAGGCCTTCGAAACCAACACATTCTTTCTTTAGGCCTCACTCTACAAATACTTAAGCAACATATGCCCAGCTTTCCTGAGGCGGCAGCGAGACTGCTCAATGAAATTCATTGTGTACTTTTGGACATTTGCAGGATCAACAATTGACCGTTAACTCTGTATGCTGGTAGTTCTTATTATCCCGTGCTTAGCTTTCTCAAGTTGAATTCTGATTACAAACACAAGGAGCCGTTACACAGAGCCGTCTGTATAACTAAGCTATACGTGGCTGATGGATAGTTTAGGTATACGTGGCATACGTCTCATGTTCTCAAGTTGGGAGAGTACAGTACATTTATTATGTATATGTACACACAGCAAGGCATGGAAGAAAGCCAGAAACCAGTTTGTAAATTAGAACGTGGGACAATATATTTCTGATTGAGGTGTACTTTTTTTTTTAATCATACGAAGTTAAAAATATTGGAAGTAGCCTTTTGTTCCCTCTCCAATGAAAATTTTTCTTTTTTTTTTGGGGGGGGGGGGGGGAAGTCAACCACTTGTCATTCTTACTTTTCCTTCTTGAGGTATAAATGACTGTACCTTAACTTCAGAATATATCTTCAGGTGATCCAGCTGGAGGAGGTATGATGGTTTTGTTTTATCTTGCAAGTCACAGCTTTGACAAGACAATGAATCTGTAAATTGCAACGAACTTTTGTACAACAAAATTCCTGCAGCCCTGAAACACAACAGTCTGCATAACAGACTCACACGTAACTATCTGGAGGAACACACTCAAGATTTCCCATCTTCCTGCCCAACAGCTTCTCCTCTAGCCTTGGGAAATTTGAACAGGTACCCACAGTTTACTGTTCATCATTCTGCCTATCTACATCCCGTTCTCCAAAAGACGTGTTGACAGGAAGATATAGTCGTATTAGTAAACTGGAACACTTTCTTTTCAGTAGAGGCCTGCACTGATTTGACATTCCTTTTCATAGCTGTATTTTAAAATCAGCCTACAGAGTGTATTAGAGCTGTAGAGAGAGAACATCATAGTTTCATTTTGTTTCTTCACTAACCGCTCTACTGAGCGAGGATCAGTGTAGAACACAGAGGAGGAATGTTTCAAAAGCTAGTAAGTAAAAAAAGAAAACGCTGATGTTTACATTGGACTTTGTATCTCTACTCCCTCTCCAGTCTAAGCTAAGTGAAAAACCCATTTTGTTCAAAGTCAGGTCAGAACAGTGGATGAAATACCTTATCATGGCTTACACGTAACATGGTCTTTTGAAATTATTTCAACATGGTGTTTTTCCACTCGCTCAAATAAAAGCATCTCCATAGCATCAAGATCTGATGGGACTCAGCCAGACAGATATTTATCCACAGCAGCTTAGAAATTAAGCAGTCAATTTAAAAAAAGAAAATTTTTTTTGAATCAGTTATTGTTCCCCAACATTTTCAACCAGCTTAAAGAAAATACAGTAGAACCTCACTGTTTCGCACCTACGACTGGGAGATTAAGTGTACATCGTTTCACTGCGACCATTTTGCAACATTCAAGTGCTAAGAGTTCAGCCAGGATGATGCACTTCAACCTGTGTTCTGTTCGCATCAGTGGAGTGTTGTAATTCAGCTTTATTTCCTATCCTGTGATGTAAGTGTACTTACATTTAATGGAAAATAAGTCAAAACGAGGTAGCACTGCCACTCTCTGCTGGAATGTGGACAGATCCTGGCCTAATTTTGAACGGTGGCTTAGCACGATTCTACTGTAATCTACACAAAATGTATAAAACACGAACCTTCTCCAGAATAAGGCCACTAATTTTGCCATTGGCAATAGGCAGTGAGAAACAGCAGTTAAAAAAAACCTCACTTGATTATAGAGGTGTTTTTGAGGCAATAAACCGTGGGGAGAAGTATAAACGCATTGTCCTCTCATCCCTCCTCTTTGTTTTCCAGTATAAGTATCTCTGCTTCCTGTACGTACTGCTCCGCGGGGAGAAATTTCAGTCTATTTTCTTAGCTGGGAGTCTGAGCAAGTCCACGCTACATTTAAAGATGGGGACAGCACTGTAAAACAGTAGGATTACAAGCTTCCCATGAGTCATGGTCATGACAGTCTGATGTCCAGATGCCCAGATTCGATACCAGGGCCCATAAAAAGGATCTGAGACGGCTGGGCACAACATGTTGTTCAAATTCACTTCTGTAACCTGAGAAAGTGACAACAAATTTATAAATTAACAATATTTTTGTGTTGCACTGATTCAGACACCTAAAATGGTAATTTTGAAATTACCGTAATAATCAAAAATGTTGAGGTGACAATCCTTTGTTCAACACACGTAGGGCAGCTTTCAGAAGGAAAGCAGATCCAAATTCAGTTGTGCATTTAATAGATGGGTTTATGCAGGTACATAACCAATTTATGAAATCTTTTACCAATACTTGTGAGATACGAGATACAAATGCCCATCAGAACATGCAATTCGAAATTTGCGTGTAACTAGTCTTATCCATATATATCTGGACACTTTGAAAAACTAGTCAGCATTTTTACTTTGAATGTACTTGCACTCTATCCATTTATTAACCTGTATTTACTTACCAATCCCAGAATCTGCAAGATGCTAAAATGATATACAAACATAAACCCCGTGGATAAAAGAGCCCACCAGAAATTGCAGAGTGGTTCTGGAGTGTAGATACCTTGAAAAGAAAGGAATACATTAGTGTTCAGCTGAATTGCCGTGTCCATCAAACACTCATGAATAATCCTCTCTCTTCTCCTCTGTGGATGTTAGGGCATCTGGCTTTAGCTGATAACCTACTCAATACCATTACAGTAATTAATATCTGAGAGCCTTATTTCTTACCTGGAGCGGCCTGATGGGTTTCTTCCCTCCTCCTGGTCCGGCAGTAAAACGTACGCTATGTTACCTCATTAAGCTTGCCTATCTTTCACCAACACCAGTGAGTTTTACCTCATTCTTCCTTCTACCGCAGAAGTACCGAATGATTTAGAAATACAGTACTGGGATACAATGAATCTTCAAAAATCAGGTTATTTGTACTTAAACACCTGCTTCTTATGGGGGCTATGACTTCAGCATGCACAGAACTAACCTAGGTAGTGGCAGATCCTGCACAGCACTGTATTAGAGCGTAGCCTAATCGCCACTTCCTAATTTTACGGTTGTTTAACAACTATTAAAAAGTAACTTGCACCAATAATGCCTAGGAACAGAAAGGCCGTATCAAGGCGTCAACCCATTAATGACAGACCGTGCTTTTAGGTGAAAACTGCTGTGGAGATATTTTCAGATATACACTACAAACAATTTTATAATCAGTAGATATCACATATACTGTAAAATATTTTTTCCCCTTCAAATGAAGCAGCGGATGTCACATTATTCCTGGGTTCACCTTTCTCCCTCCTCCTGAAACTAGGTTTTGTCAATTTACTGGCAAAACACAATGTCATGTGATCTAGAACGTACCGAGGAAATCGGAGCTAATAAAAGTACCCTTAGATACAAGGCTATTTTTGGAATTAAATATTCAAACATCATATGGTGAGAACAAAAGCAGTTTACAGAGTTCTCAAGACTCTTACTAGCAGACATGAAAATTTCAGTGTAAGATATGAGGAAAAATATTTTTCTTACGACTTTAATCGCTTAACCTAGGGACGCAGAAGAAAAAGATGCACAATGTCATGCTGCTCAGCTGCTATAAGAAGTTGTAGAGTTTCAGACGATTATAAAAATCCATTGGCATTTTTTAATCCGCCTTTGTCTGTTGTCTGCTCCATTAGATATCATTAGATATTGGAACGTGTATCCAGTATTCAAAGGATAGCTTACGGCACAGAGTGCGATACTCAGCCTTCGCTAGCTAGCACGAATGTGATTACCGGGAAGATTCAACAGACTTCAGCATGTAGTGTACAAGGCTACTGGGAACTCAAATAACTACACACGCCTAGCTAGCTATGACAGAACTCACCAGCCTAAAGCTGGTGTGAGTATACCGACGTATGGTATCATATGTAGATGAAGGCAAGTAAGCGCTGTTACTTGCTTTACCACACCACCATATAGTGGTGCACCCTGTCTCAGGTTTAAAATCCCTAGCGGACTGCTTCCTCAATCCCTGCTGCCCTTTTACAGTTCTTTCCTGCGTAGTTTTCTTCCATAGTTTGCACCCATGGTGCCAGTTCAGATTGATTTTGCAGTAGCTACCTGAAATAATCTAACTTAAATATCATTTTGTGAATGTTACAAATTCAAAATTACCTACAGTTTATTGTCTAAAACTGTACATCTGTTCGCTGTCCACTCAAAATAACATCGCTTCTCTGTTGCTAGTCAACAGAGAGTAAGGAGTCGATCGTATGCTTGAACGACAGCAGCACATACGCACCCCATGTATCACTCACTGACTTTAATGAGCAACAGTGTTAGTGTAATTACCCAAGATCCAACTGCACACCGTGCCTTAGTAAGCCGGTTGTGACTTGGTGCAACCGTGACAAATATGAGCAGAGAAGCTACTTTGAAAGCATAAGGCAGCTTATCAGATTTCTTATCCAGTGGGTAGGTGAAGGTCAGAAGAAGTGTCTGAACTATAAGCAAAATCCAAAGATAAAAGTGAATTCTACATGAGTAACTTTAAGTGGAGTGCTCTACAGGTAAAGGGAAAAAATTCACAACAGTCTAATTCTTCGAACATACTTAGCAAGCATGATCGACGAGCTGGTATCCTATTTAGAAAACGGTACAGGAGACTTTACTTAAATAGTAATGATATTCATTAAACTCCATTGCCCGAAAACATCAGATACGTGATACCACCTTGAACATGGTTTTTCACTAGAGAGAGCAAGAGAAGAAGCAACTTGGTGTCAGAGTTCAGGAGACCGTGGCTCTGTTTTTGGCTGCACCAACTTTAAGTGACCTGGTCAAGCTATACGGAAGCTCTGTGCTCCCTCCTCAGCTGTAGAGTAAAGAAAACATCGTTTGACTTGCAGTTTTTTTGTATTGTCTTTTATATGTTATAAAACTTATATGCAGTTTTAGGTGCATGTTTAACCTAGATGCAAAACACAAAATTTAAATAAGTTATCTGAAACAGCTCCCGGGAACTGGCAGAGCAGTGCTATAGCAAATTTGGTTTCACCTGAACTCGCCAGGTTGGCAGCTGCCTGTGGTATTGCAAAAGTATTCGACAAAGCCTGAGAACAGATGGTAGTAGTCTAAAGAGGTAAACACTCAGAGAAGCTAGAATCAGGAGACCTTGATATTTGGGGGACTTACAGCGCAGGCAGTATATAAACACTAAAACAGACAAGTGAACCCAGCTATGAAACAAGAGTGGAGGGAGAAAGCAGTCATTAAAAGACTAAGGAAATTGCACAAGATGACAAAACAGAGCAGTGGCATAATTTGGCTTTGAACCCGAGCTTCTCATGTCCAGCTTCAATCTAGTCAGGGAATCGTGTTTCAGAAGTCAC